CACTTTGCTCCACTAAAAAATAAACATTAGAGTTTTTAGTTTGAGGAAGAAAATGGAGAGAAACTAAAGAGTCGAGAGTAACGAATCTTGAAGAGAAGCTCTGTTTCAGAATGGCAGCAATAGGAGGAGGATCATTTAGAGCCCAAATCTCTCGTATCTCTATAACCATTCCAACTCTCTCTTCCTCTTCTTTGTTTCCATCACTAACAATATTGGTCTGTAATCTCTTCATTTCTATGGATTCTTTATCTCATTAATTAATTTTGCCTCTTTTATAATTGACACAGATTTTGTCTTGTCTCTTTCTGCAGCAATCATGTAATAAAAAGGACAATCAATTGCGGTGTGCCTTGCAAGAGTCTTCCACTTCTACTGGTAATTGTAAATACAGGAGAATGTTTTGTTTGCTTGTTTGAATCAATCGAAAACACACAAGAAAAATGTAATTAACCTTCTTGTTCTCTCCCAGTTGCTACTGAGAAGAAGAGTAACGACAAAGAACAAGAAGATGACTCAAAAGTGGCGGTTCCGGCAAAGAAACCTAAACCCGCAGCTGCGAAAGCAGCAGTGGTGAAACCGTTGAAACAGATGATGGAGGAAGACGTGATTCCTCCGTTAAAAGCCATTCTTGAAGCTCAAGATGATATATCTGAAATCGATTTATCTTTCCAAGACGATAAGGTTTCTTGATTCTAAACTTGTATAACAATTATCATCATCATCATCTCTAACTTAACAACTTGTGTTTGTTACAGAGACAGCTAGAGGGTTATTTCTTGAAGAAAGGTATCCAATATTCCTTCTGGGCCTTCTTCCCCACTGGAAACCTCACAGGTAATTGTTTCATCATTTTATTTCAGATACTCTGCAAATTTGAATGGAACATATCTCTTTTGTATGTGTTTCTTAAAACAGGAGCAAAGGGGTTTTCAATTTCGTCATACGGGTCAGTTCCAAGCACAGTGGAACCGTTTCTAGTGGACGAGAGGAAACCAACTGCGAACCACGTTGTGTTCTGGGTCGAAAAGCGCCTTGCTGCGCAAGGGATTATTCCGGTTTGGAACCAATGAGGTTTTTATTCAGTTTGTAACTATTACATTTGTATACCAAAATTGAAGAGAAACAAAATCTCATTCTCTCTCTCTCTCACACACACACAAAACAGCCTTTCCTTTATGCCAATCCATTTTCAGTTGAGACTATTCTCTTCCTCGCCTTCTCGGCCTGCAAATTCATAGATTCCAGTCACTCCAGAGCATAAAAGTAAAAAACAGAATGTATAAGTGTAACAAAGCTCTAACCTGTTCTTTCCAATTCACAGAAGAAGTGACGATAGCCAGTATAGTGGCTTGCACAGCGGATCCAACCACAACACCGCACCAGAGTCCTTTTCCATTGAACCCACGAACGAAAGCTAAGTAAAGTCCAACCGGAGCTCCTACGAGATAATAAGACACCACGTTGTTCCAAGCTCCAATATGTTGCCAACCACTTGCCCTAGCAACCCCGTTAAGAACTGCGGTGAATCCGTCGAGTATGAAGGAGAGACAGAGCAAAGGAGATAGGTCCTCGACATAGTCCACAACTTCTTTGCTGTTGCTGAATGCGTAGCCTACGATATTCTTGCAGGTGAAGAGAAGTGTGCTAAAGAAAGCTGACTCTACAAGCCACAGACAAAGCCCTGCCAATACTGATACCCTAGCGACTTGAGGATTCCCAGCTCCCAGTTTGTTTGACACGCGCGTGCTGCAAGAAACCAATTAATGACCAATGTTGAACAAGGAAGATAAAAGATGTTAAGGATTGAAAACTGAGATCATACCTCACAGCCGCCGCAACTCCAGCTGGAATTACATAGTGCAATGCTGCTGTTGTAAGACTGAGATGAAAGAAAAAGAACAATTACTTTATCAGT